TGTTTCTTTACGGAGTTATGCATGATCAACGAAAATTTTAAGGGGTGGTCGGAGACTTTTGGTCACCCACTGTATGTTTCGAATTTGACCCCCATATAAATGATGGCTTTTCTGATGAAACTAATAAAGGAGAGAAAAATATCCATTCTAAAGTTATGAATGGGACCACTTCAATGAGAGGTCCCAGTTGGATTTACTCATTTACGTAACTGAAAATCTTGTCGATAATGTAAGCATATTACCCGATTAGGAACTTTGGGTGATTTCAAAAAATCGTGCAAAAAGAATTAGTTCATATCCGCAAATTAAAAAACGCGTCGAGATCGATAGTCCTTGTTATGCGTACGTAAAATTGTCGCGCACAGTTTACAATTACGTAAAAACTTTTACATAAATAAATCTTCATTTGCTGATGCACGGCAGTATTTGTTACAGACAAAGGAGAAGGTCAGTAGTGGAGAAAACCTGCGAATTGGGATTTAACAGTTTAGAGCAGAAGGAAAAGAATATCAGCTGCCAAACCCAAATCGACATAACTGATAATACGGAGAATACCGGACGATAATAAGTAATAGGTGTAATTAGATAACAGCGACAACTTCTTATCGTAGACAAATATGGGAGCGCCACCCAGACGGTTAAACGTCTAATGATTGAAAAATCAAATGATGAAGTAAACCCAGCATTGAATCTATTCTATAAAAACTACAAACAACAAATGCTTGCTTTCATTATGCAATTCTTCTGCGAAGGTTGCTGATCGGACTTATCCTTGATCCCTATAAAACGTGGCCTTTACGTCAGCGCTCTCGCTGCACTTGTTATACTTGCGTCGACTATATAGAAAAGCGACGCAAAACGCTGAAAATTTTTTCAGTAATTTAATTTAATAGTATTTGTCGTCGAAATTATTATGTTGTTTAACACGAAATACGATTGTTGCATTTTATTCATAGTACAATTTCCTCTATATCCAATTTGGTAAAATTCAAAACTCTTGCTACATTCCTGCTGTGCAAAAAGTTTTGAAAGCAACTTAATGACCCATTTTGCACTAATCAAAGACGCTTCAATTCCGGAATGACCTTCCCCTCGTCGCGAAAAGCAATTGCTTAGTCGAACAGGTTTTAGTTATTAACTTATTTTTGTAGGAATAAAAAGTTAGTAATGGCGACAATCTTGTCAAAATTGAAGTTAATTTTGGAAATGGAAGAATAGTTATTACGTGTGTGTGTGTGCACTAAAAAATATATACCGTAATTTTTAGAAACTTTAAAGAAAAACCAATAATATTCCTATACAAACACTGCAAAAGTACCCCTAAAAACTGACCTGTAACAATATGTATCTTTTCATCAAAGTTACTGTTAACACTATTATAATTGTGCTTTGTTCGCCGTAGGTACGTCTTTGGATATTTTATCGGCTGCGGTGTGCAAATCTGCAATAATTGATAAATTACATAATTATAATAGTCGAGTAAACTTTTGAATCTTTATTGAAACTACTGAAGGCTTGTTAGAGCCTCTTTTGATAGGTAAATTACAAAATAGAAACTATCCAAACCAATAAAAAAATATGGCTTACAGATTTCCTCTCTGGAAAGAGAATTTCCTAATTAGAATCGACTAGCTCTAATTGAGAATCTTCTGCGCGTCCATTTTATTGTGAAAAGATTATAAAAAGTGACTATAATAACAAACGATTATTTAAAATAAAGCGTACTTTCATTATGATTCGTCAATGTTTTAAGATAACTCACTTGTTGTCGATATGTTTTGCGTCATTTACTCTCTTGCGTATTTCACTAAAATGTGTATTAACTTTTGAATCCATCTATAATTTCCTCTCTCATACTGTTCATCGACAATTTCTTGGCATTGCGCAAGACATTGTTAATTTCATTGAAAAGTCGGACTTCCATTATCAACATCCGGGTAATCGAAAATAGGTGTTGAAATAGAACCCAGATCGCTTGGACGATGGATGATTACCTTTAACGTTTATCAATCATAGCATCGAACAAAGAAAGTTTAAGTACAGCGACTATGTTGTATGTTAATTATGTTATCGTAGAAAGCAATAACGATAACATAAAATGAAATGACATTTGTTGTTCTATTAATATGCAGTAATAATATTATTAGTGGTGCAGCTTGTAATCCATTTAGTAATCACTAAGGCCTTCGGGACACAGTCCAACTCCACAACTGTTAGGACGTCTTCTTTTCTTACGCTCCCTTGACTTACACTCCATCCCAATAAAATACAGTCACTCATCCACAATTCCGAATCTAGCTATTTATTGTGCTTGGCGAAAAGATCATTGCATAATTGACAACACTAAATATTAATATAGGATGTGTTTACGCGCAACTGTGTCACGAATCAGAAAGACGAAATTCACACCGATCGTAGGAAGGATAAATCGCCAAACTGCCCATATCATATCGCAAACGAGGTTAATTTTTCTACCTGCAAGTTCAATAAGAAGGATGCTGATTGTAATCTTAAATGTAGCACTCAACTTAGGGTTTATCTTGTCAAGACTTGGACTATAACGGCAGATGTGAGCAACCTGTGTTGTAACGATGCACAATTATAAAGTTAATTATCTGTCTCATGAGTTATAAATAGTACATTTTGGAGAGAAAAGCCGCATGAATGGAGCAAGATTACTCTGAACCAGGATGGCGATATCATATCGCCATAAGTGATGATGGAAAAGAAGCTGTCAAATTTAGCATTCGTAAGTTCGTCAAAAAGTTACAGATTCATTTAACGTTCAACTTATTATTCTCCCACCCACTCAATTTTATTCCAAAGAAAAAGACAAAGGAGAGTTCGTTGGATACCTGACAGCGTACAAAGTCAACGGAAATGAAATCTCCAAAGTCTCCGATGACTCGTATACGATCAATGCAAGCTATATACAAGCAGCTTACGACTCGAGTTCTGCTATGCCAACATGGAGTCTTGCCATATCCAATATGAATAAACACGGAAAGACTTTGGTTGCGCTTTCCTATTTCCCGACTAAGGAAATAACTTATAAAACAAGCTCTGATTTAGAATCTGGAAGCTCGCAAGGTTACGGCACATATGTGCTTGTGATGGATCTCAATAATCCTGATAAATGGTTAAGGATAGAAACACCATTGGACGAGTTTGCTGGAGTAGTTAATTTTGTATCGGACCCCAACTCGGATATGTGGCTATTGACAATATCAAAAATAGAGGGAATCTTTCATTATAATATTGACCCATATCATACAAAACCATACAAGCCCTTGAATGAGACTACCGTATGGCAGCGTGATACCCCGAAGGTATATAGTCACAATATGAAGGATAAGTGGAAAGACCCAGCTATAGATAGCAACGTTTGCTTTCAATTTTTCGCGAGCACGATCAAGTCATATGTGTATTTTGAACCTGAGCCAAAGAAGAAAATACTTCGTGTGTACAATCTACGTGACGGATGGCATCTTTTCGATCTCCATCACCAAGGCGATCCGAGTCTAATTGTTTTTGGTACACGAGTGTTGGCAATATCGAAAAACGGGGCTTTGTTGGCAGTTAGTCTTGATACAACATCTATCAACATTTATCTGATGGAGAATGGTTTAGAGTGCGGAAGAAAGGAGACG